GGGGGGATGGACAGAGCAGTGGAGAGGAGAGGAGTGGACACGACAACCTATCTCACGGCTGCCATGACAAAGCAGAAGTCACCGAACCTAATGACATCCTTACTGGTTGCTATACTCTCAGAACTCGCAGCACTCCACCCACGTGACAACGGAAGGGCAGGCCTGACCATCGATGGTTACCCCGCTACCCGTTACCTGTGAGCCAACTGACCGGCACTAATCGTCACCACACTGACCAGCGGTCACGTCTCAGCAGGGGGCCACCCAGGTAAGCATTGGCTTGGCTTCCGGTCACACTTCAATAGCTGTGTCCACTTAAGACTGGGTGCCCGGGCTATAATCCCAGGACAGGCCAGCCAAAGTGTCATGCATGGAAAGTGGAACTGGGGGGTGGGGAGTCACCGAGACAGGACAATGCAGATCTATTTTCGAGGCTTACTCTTTCACAATTTATACCCTATTCTAACACGAAAGAAAGCAAAGCAAAGCAAAGCAAAGCAAAGCAAAGCAAAGCAAAGCAAAGCAAAGCAAAGCAAGGCAAAGTAAACCAACACAAAACAAAACAAAACAAAACAAAACAAAACAAAAACAACAACCGACACAAACTACTAAACAACAATAATAATAATAACAACAACAAAAACAATAACAACAACACCCAACATAATTTATTGACAGTGTTCTATTGCAATGATCGTTTATGTTTTAAGCCCCCATTGACACAGTTTAGATCAATAGGCTGCCCTCAACCCCAATAGTTCAGGCCAACCTAGGCTGATTGGGATACGATGGAAAGAAGGTGATATAGTATTCTATCAAATGAACTTCAAACCTAAAGAATCGAACCAATTTCTTTTGTGTTCAAGGTAAGAGCTGAACCATTACACCACAGCTGTCAACAGAGACAAAAAAACAACAACAACAAAACCCCCACACAATGCGAAAAAGAAGCATTGGAGAATATTGTAACAACAGACAAGTTTGATGGAAAAAGAGGAAGAGGCAGACAGAGGGAAAAGATACTGGACAAGCTGACAACATGGCTGGGAACAGCAAAAACGACAGACACCATCGCTGCAACGCAAGAGTGAGTAAAGTGGAGGTCCATGATCGCCCACGCCAGTCGGCAAGGCACCGGATGAGGATGAAATATTATTAGCTAGGCAGTATAATATGAATATCCTCAAACCATTGGTCCATAACTTCTCTTGCAGCCACTGGGCCGCAGTTTTCGTAACAATGTTCCGGCCCTTGCAATACCAACAGGTCATAATAAAAGTGCCGAAGATTAGGGGGGGGGGGAAGAGAAAGAGGACAGATAAGGTACGACATTACAAGTTTATTGGAAAGAAGGAGCAAACAACATCAGAGCACCCAACAAACACTTAAACTGGGAAGAAAACACCCACTATCTTTTAAAATAGCATAATTCCTATATTACCTACCATAAGGGAAAGAGGAGGGCCCGGTGTATTATGTTGATGCACATCCGAGGTCGAATCCGACACGATACGATGTTGTGAGATCTTCGTCGAATCAGTCTTTCCCATCTTAACCCCTGACGTTGTCACACAAATAGATCTAGCAGCTTTTAGAGAACTCGTCTGACCCATTTGAATAAGAAGCAAAACCCGGGAAGAATTCAATCCACCAATGCTGTTAGTTTCTTAGACTGTGTATAGTTTACTTTATAACAACGCTTGTGGGGGGAGAAGTTGTTGAAAAACTGAAATCCAACAGGAATTGCACGAAATTTATACTGCGAGTGAAACACAAACTGATATCAGGGTCCCTAACCGCTTGTTACTAAAGTTAGAGTGGCCTTCGGTATTAAACCGGTCTGTGGCACACTGTTGTCAGGTTCTAAAGATAGACCGAGGAAAGCTTACAAAAGCATTATAATTATTAGTCCTACAGTTTTACACATTCTCTTTTTTAAAGTTCTAATAATAATAATATTATTATTATTATTATTATTATTATTATTATTATTTTTCGTTATTATTATTTTCATTATCATTGTTATTTCACGTCCTTGTGTGGAAACTTACACAGCGTTGACCTCCAAACACCGGCTCTAAAAAAAAAAGAAGGAAAAAAAAAAAAAGGAATAGGCCTAATGAAAAAAAACAATGAAAAAAACCCAAAAGGACTGGGGGCTGAAATAGTTGCTTAAGCTTGGGATGAAGTCACTTATTTCACAATCTACAGCAAGTTAGTGATACATAAACAGTCCGTCTCGCTGACGTCCGGCGCTGATGTAATGCGATAAGATATCATAAAAAAACCCTTCTTTTTTCTTGTTTTTGTTTTTCTTTTGGGAGTTTTTGGAGGGTTTTTTTATTTCTCTTTTTTTTTTTTGGTGTCGTCTACGGCGCCGCGACGAGACAGCGGTCATTTATCACCAGGAAGCACGACATGTATAATTTATTCATAGATTAAGACTTGTGACACTGCACCAGAATCGCAAAAGTGCACCTCAAGACACCCACCAGCCGCCCACGAGACAATTGGTTGACGAGCCTAATTTCAGACTCAAATTGTCAAATCTATAACGCAAAATTTTTTTGTGAACTGTGATAAGACGCTTTGGTAAATGATAAAAAATAAGCTTAGATCTACTTCTTTAGACAAGGTCGCGATTCCACCTCGTGATTTGGAAAATTTCTTCAACACATTAGGTAACTTATCATTATCAATCTCGTTCACATTACATGTATTATTATGAAATTGAACTTGATATCGCTTAGAAATTGTTCATTAACAGATTAAATTAAGGTATAATTACGATAATTAACATATTATTTCAAGTAACATTTTGATACCACACGCTCGCTGACGACGATTAATGTCAGTCAATACCAAAAGGATAAACAGTATGCTTTATTGGTAGATGTTGCCGAAATAGACGAAGGGAAGGTGGGTGGTTGGAAGGCTCAACTGGTAGGTCCTGCGTATTAATTTTACTTCCCATCTGATGTTACTGGCTGTCTTACTTTTTCCAAGCACTAAATGACCATAACTGTATTGGTATACTTCTCATTACTCAGACAGACAGACAGACAGACAGACAGACAGACAGACAGACAGACAGACAGACAGACAGACAGACAGACAGACAGACAGACAGACAGACA